TTACATTCTCCAACAAAGCACTTTTCCTTTATCCCTCCCTAGGTTTCAAAAATTATAATACAATATAGCATGGCGTAAACGCGAATACAAAGGGGAAGGTCGGCATCTTTCTCCCTCACACCTTCCCAGAGGTGTCATTCCCTAGCCGCGTTATTCCTGAAACGGGTTAAGAACCCGGGTGCCGAACGTGTGACTCCTGGCTAGGTTTTCAGCTTCCCAGTCATAGGCGACGCCCTATAGAATCGGTTTTGAATAGATTTGGGGTGTCATGTCCTGGGGGTGCTTCCCAGGGTGGCTACCTGGGCAGAGGGTAGCTCCGTCCTCTGATTAGGCTCTGAATACCCTCGGGGTAGGAAAGGGTCAGATTTCTCCCCATCTACCTAACGGCCCAAGTCAGATTTGCCCTAAAGGTAAACTGAGAGACCAGATCCCACCAGAGACTGAGGGGTAGCAAGGAAGAAAGCCAGAGTGACATTGGATGGCACTGGAAAGCGAGAGGGGATGGAAGGGTGTCTAGGAGTCTGGTTGTCCCGGCAGGATGGCAGGTACAAAGGCCCCTAGGCATAGCCAGAATGTGGTGGGCAGCGCAGGGGGACAGTGAGGGGCTAGGACAAAGATTGCATGCGGCTGAACCACCCAGGGTCTGGCCGAGGAAAGCGGAGTCAGAACTCCCTTTAGGTTTAAAGGAAGAGGGTGACGGAGTAAGGAGGCAGGGGTTTAAGCGGGACAAGAACGTAACCTGTCACACCACACAAGCGAGGTCTGAAATCTGAATGTGTGCCTCCCGGAGAGGGAACTGTAGGGACACTGCAGAGACAGGAACAGCTTCGGGACTAGGGTGATTGTAGGGGTCCACAGGGACAGGGACCCTCCCTGCGCGTTCTGTCACCATCTCTCCCTGCCTCTCTCCGTATCTCACAAAGCACCATTCCAAACCCACCAAGCGTTAAGTCTTCCCACCGGGGTTCAGGGTGGCGTCCCTCGCCTGCCGTGCCCCCATGACTCTCCCGCTTCCACAAGGCAGAACCCCCACTGTGCAGAGCCCCTGGACCCTCTCCCCTTTGTTCTCCTTTTCTCTGCACTCAGTCACCGTAAGGCTAGCGGCGCCCTCCGTACGCGTCTCACACAAAGAGGGGGTACGCTACCGGCCCCTCCCCCGTCCCTCTTCCCTAGCCCCGCCCGCACTCGGAATCCCGGCCTCTGGACCCATCGCGGGAGCCCATTACCTTTCACAAGAAGCTCCCCGCCCCTGGGAGGTGTCTATTTTTAGAATGAATGAAAGAAAAGAAAAAATATATATATAAAAGGATGGAGCCTCATAGAAGCCTCCTGGCTTCCGGGAGGAAACCCTACTCGCCCCAGGCCGCGGCAGACGGTTGATTGGGGATTCCTGGACTGGCAGGGCAAGAGGGGGACAGAGAGGGCGAGGGTGATTGAGACGACGTTCCCCGTTATTGGGGGGCTGGAGAAGGAGAAAAGCGTTTTAGCAAGACTAGCAGAACCCTACGAATTCGTAGAGCTGAGGGGACCCCGGAGATCGGCGCTGCTCATTAACTGGGAAACTGAGGCTCAGAGAGGGTCTGAACAGGGCCAAGGTCACCGGAGGGCTAAATCCGCTAGTGGGTTTCTCTCCCCGTTCCTCTAGTGACCCTAGTGACCCAGACCCCGCGAGCCGCATTGTTCTAATTTGTCAGAGTGACCTTCACAATCCCGCTGCCTCCACCGTTCGTGTCCAGCGGGGTCCACAAGTCCGGGGTCCGGGATTCGTGCAGGCGTGAGGAGGCGTCATCAGCTCGCAGACGAGGTACATAAGTTTTCTGTGGTTTGTTTTCGGGCTACTGAGGTCCCCCTCCGTTGCTGGGACCTTCCCGCCCGGGCAACGTCACTAGCTCCCCCAGCCTCCTAGGTCCCTTGGGGTCCCCTGCGCCCCAGAGCCGTTACGAAATGGGAGGGTTTGCATAAGATGTTCTCGCTCTAACTCGCACACTCAAGAGCAGCCCCCTGAATGACAGGGGCAGCTGCGTTCTGTATTGCTGGGGCCCTGGGCCAGATCTGGGGCTCACCTTCTCCGGGCCTCAGTTTCCCTATTTTTAAACCGAGCGCCTTTGGCCGGCGTCTGCAGAGAGTTCCCCATTTCTTTGAGCGTGATCTGGTATTTGCTGCCACGCCCTGGGGGCAGTGGGCTGGAAGGAGACCCGGAGGGGGCTTTCCCCGCTTCTCCCCTACTTTGCGGAGAGGCTCCGAGAGAGGGAAGGCAGCTAGCAGCGTTCCCCTCCTTCCCTCTGGTCAGCGCCCCCTTCCCGGGCGGTGGCGGCGGGCGGGGCCAGGAGTCGGGGAGGGGGCCCTCTCTGCGGCGGCGCGCGCACTCCTCCCTCCCGCCAGCACGCCCTTGCCCGCCAGTGCACTTGGCTTTGCTCTCGGGGCTGGCGGGGCTCGAGCGGCTGCGGCCAGCGACGGCCGGTGAGTGGGCGGCAGGGAAGGGCACGGGGGTCCCAGCTTCTCCTCCTGAGTGGGCAATGGTCCGGGCTTGTCTACTCGGAAAATCCAAAGGAGAGCTTCGGGCGGGAGGGGCACCCCTTCCCCCCACTCTGAGCCGGGAGTCGGCTCCACAGCCCCCACACATCCAAGTAACAGGGGACTCCGGGTGGGATCTTACAAACCAGGCGGAGATAGGGGCAGGGGCATGAGGACCATCAGGGCGGGCACCATCTTCAGAAGGGAGAGGAAAGAGAGGTGGCCCCCACTGGTCTCCACTCATCTGCCGCCTCCCAGCCTTTCCTCTACACTCCCTCAAGACCTTTCTCTTTCCACCAATGTGTGTGGGGATTCCCCTCACTGCCGAGTGGAAGGGAGCCCCCACCCCCTACTGTGCGCCATCTCTTCCCTAAGCTTTCAGTTTCCTTCCCTAATGACAGGGGAAGGGGCTGAGGCCCAGAGAGGGTTAGCACTGGCCCAAGGTCACCCAGTGGGACAGGAACAGAGCTGAGATTTACAGACAGACCCTCTGACTCATAACCCAGTTAGTGGGGTTCATTCTGGGGTTCTCTTCTTCCAGAGTTTAACCCTAATATGGGAGTTAGAGGGTTCCTATTTGGGGGGCCAGGGATTGAGGATGTCTCCCCTATCTCTGGGATCCTCTGCCTCACCAGAGGCCCAGACAGGACTGAGCAGTGAAGCCCTGACTTGTTCCCTTCCCAGGGGCTCCAGGGGCTCAGTCTCCTCCTTCAACCCCCTCCATACATCCTCCCTTCAGCTGCCCATGACCCCAGAGGACTTTGGGAGTTCCAGATGAATGAGACAGAGCCATGAGGTGGAATGGGGAGGAGTAGGGAGGAGAGTCAGAATTGCCATTCTGATGCTGTCGCTGGCTAGACAGTGACCTTGGACAAGCCCCCTGCCCTCCCACAAACAGGGTCAGCTCCAAGACCCTCCTGGCTAGAGGAAGCAGTCCCTGAGCCATCCAAGTGGTTGCCCCCCACCATCAACCTGCGACTCTCCAGGAGTCTGGAGGAAGAAGGGGCAGTTGAAACATTTCACAACGTGTTTCTCCTTCAACCCCATTCTGTTATCTAGCCAGTCACCCCCTTACTCCACATGGGGACTATCCTGTGTTCCTTTCCACCCGCTTCTCTAGGATAGGTCCCAGAGCCTGGTACCCATATGGAACTTCCGAAGACAGCCCTGTAGAGATGGGGTGAATTCTAGGAGGAGTTACAGGCCCCAGGGCAGTTGTGGAGGCGGGGAGGTGTGAGGATTTGAAGGACCAAGAGAAAAATAGGACCTGCTCAACAGAGCTTATTTCTGGCTCCTTCATCCTCCAACCAGCCCTTCCCCACTTTACCCACCCAGATCTCCGTGAGATGAAGGAATTGGAAGAAACCTGGGGAAGGACATGAGTCTGGATAGCATAAATGGTTAATTGTTCAACTACAAGCCAAAAGGTTGGCAGTTTGAACCCATCCAGAGGTACCTCGGTAGAAAGTCCTGGTGATCTGCTAGTGAATGGTCACAGCCTTGAAACCCCTATGGAACAGCAGTTGCACTCTTTGTGCACGGAGTCATGAGTCAGAGTTGATGTGATGCCAGCTCCCAATCACATGGGAATTCTAGAGCCCTGGGTGGTGCAATAAGGAGTCGGGGTAGCAGTGGGTAGAGTGTTGGCATGTTAACTAAAAGATCAACGATTCAAACCCACCAGCCTCTCTACAGACGCAAGCTGGCTCAGTCTACTTCTGTAAGGACTGGCAGTCTCAGAAACCCCGTGGAGCAGGTCTACTCCGTCCTACAGGGTTACCATGAGTCAGATCAATTTCATGCCCATCGGTTTGTGCTCGTCTACTAACCTAAAGGTTGATGATCCAAACACACTCCGCAATGTCATTGAAGAAAGTCCTGGTGATCTACTTCTGTAAAGATTAACCCAAACCTAACCCAACCCACTGCCATCAAGGTGATTCCGACTCATCGCGACCTCATATAGGGAGTCTCAGACTATAAATCTTTAAGGGAGCAGAAAGTCTCATCTTTCTCCCTTGGAACTACTGGTGGGTTTGAACTGCTGATCTTGTAAAGATTACAGCCAAGAAAAACCTATGGAGTAGTGGGATAGCTATGAGTTGGAACCGACTCAACAGCTAAGCAACAGAATGGGGAAGGGCAGATGGCATTCATTGGGCAATGCTAGGCAGCTGAGGAGGGAGCTTTCAGACTGGTTTGGGAAAAGGACATCAAGGTCCCAGAGGAAGGAGACAGGACCAGAGTAGGCCACGGATCTTAAGCTTTCTTGTATAGTTGAAGGTGGCCCAGCTCGTTGACACAAAGTCAGATGGGAATCTGGTCTGAAAGCCCTTGTGTTCTGTGGGTTGTCCACATTTAAAACTCCTGGGGCCCTGTCTCCACCCCACGCCCTGTGTCTCATCCTTACAGGTCTCTCCAGGATCCGGCAGTCCCACACCTGGCAAATGATAACTCATCTGCTCTGAAAGCGGCAGGGTCCTTGGTGGTGGCTCAGCAGGGATACCCCTGCACCCAGGGTGAGTGATTCCCAGAGTTCTATGGGGGCTGGGCAGCCAGGGTGGACTGACTAGAAAAGTTGGTGATTTAAGGAAATAGTGCCAGCCATTGAAGCAATAACAACAATAGAGTGACAAGAATAACACAAGGCAGTAGTGGTTCTATGGGAGAATTCTTTCCTCCCATGCGGGAGACCTGGTTTTAATTTGAAACCAGTGCACCTCTTTGCAATCCCCACCTATGAGTGAGGCTTGCATGTTGCTGTGATGCTTCAGCAGAGCTTTCAGACTAGGCCTGACAATCAACTTCCAAAACTCAGCCAATGAAAATCTTACGGCGTGCAGTGGTTCAATCCCTAGCCAATGGTGCGGATGACTCAGGATCAGCCGCGTTTCATTCTCTTCTGAATAGCGTCACTTTTAGTTGGATGAAATTGAGTAACAACAAATAATGCTAACAATGATGGCTTCTCCTTCTAGAGCTCCCACCTTCTATCACTGCTGGTGGGGAACCTGCTTACAGAGGCTGGTTGACCTGCCTAATGTCACACAGCTAGAGGGGGCAATGGAATTGGGTTAGAAGACCCCTCTCACTCCCATGACCTCCTTTTCATCTCCTGGGGAAGTCACTCCATGCAGACAGTACCCAGGGAACACTGGGGCACAGGCAGCACACGGACTGGTTTTCCCCCTGGGAATATTGACTGGCATTCGGGAATGGGGCTGAGCTAGCTGACGGAAATGTGAAGACAGAGGCATGTTGTCCCAGACCTGTGGGGTTGGTTGCCCAGTCATGGTCATCGTGATGTGCTGTGGAGTTGGTTCCGACTCATAGAGACTCTGTACGGCGTTTCCAAGGCTGTAAATCTTTACCGGAGCAGAAAGCCTCATCTTTCTCCTGCAGAACAGCTGGTAGTTTTGAACTGCTGACTTTAAGGTTTGCAGTCCAATTCATAACCACTCCACTGCCAGAGCTGCCCAGTCAGTTTTCAGCAAACACATACTGAGCAGGACTGTATGTCTGACCTCAGACTGTGCTCTGAGGACACAGGGGGAAGGAACCCAGGCAGGCTCCGGTCAGCCTTCATGAAGTTCCTAGTGGGATGTCAGTTACTAAAGTGATACATTATTACATTCTGGGAGGAAGAGAAAACCCAGCAATGTGGCCTGGGGAGGGGTGGGGGCTTCTGTAGGTGGGCCAAAGGGGCTCTCTGGGAAGGTAACACATGAGCTGAGATCTGAAGGAGCAGAAGGAACCAGATGGGGAGAGCTGGGAATAGCATACCCAGCATAGTGAACAGCAGGTACAAAGGTCCTGAGGCAGGAACAAGGTAGGATGTTTGAGAAACAATGAGAAGTCTAGTTTAGCTGAAACTGAATGAATGAGGTGAAGAGAGAAGGGAGCTGCAGCAGGGAAGGCTTGGTCATGCAGAATCTCAGGGATAGGAGATGGGGGGTAGACTGTCGAGCAATGGGGAGCCATGGAGGGTGTGTGAGCAAGAGAGAGCTATGGACTGACAGCTGCTGAGGAGAACAAGGGCTGGAACAGAAGTGGAGACAGCAAGAGGTTTGGGCAGAGGTCAGGGAATTGTCTAAAATGGGGTAGGGAATTGGTACGGCGAAGAGAAGTAGGCAGATTCTGGGACTAAGCTGGGTACTGTGAGTGACCAGATTTGTGCACATGATGTGAGGAGGGCAGGTGGGATCCGCTCTGCCCAGGGAAATCTGGAAAGGCACCCTAGAGGAGGTGCTCTCTGAGTTTTCAGGAAGGGGAATAGGAGTTTGCCGACAGCCACTACTGGAAGGAAAATGTGCTGCTCTGTGATCCATAGGTTTTCGTTGGCTAATTTGTGAAAGTCAATTGCCTGGCCTCTCTTGTCCATCTTCGTCTAGAAGCTCTCTGTTTAATTGTGTGTCCTTGTGTGACGCTGGCCTGCTAATCACCAGATCCACAATTCAAATCCACTGGTCTTTCTCGGAAACCCTATACAGGGTTTCTGTGAGTCAGAATCGACTCAACGTTACACACAACAGTTGTGTAGGGTGAAGATGCCATATAGACCACGAGGAGCACGTAACACTTGGAATTCTGGCCATCGTTATCAGATTTATAATAAAGAAAGACCCTCCAGGGCCAGGCTGGGGTCTGACCTGAGGCAGAGTATCCAGGAAAGCACCTGGTTGTGACGAGGACAGTGGCTACTTGAGCACCCATTGAAAGCACTTGCTGTAGGCACCTTTGGGGATGAACTTCCTGACCCCTCACCATTGCTCTCCAAGAGACGTGATCACACTGCTGAAGAAACTAAGTCATAGAGAGACACAGTATCCTGTCCATCGCCACTGTGTGAGTCTCCTGTGGCCACCATAACAAAGTCCTACAAACTGGGTGAAGAGAGAGAGGTAGTGGCCACTATGTTGATTCTGACTATGGTGACCCCATGGGAGCCCAGTGACTGTAGGATAAGCATTGAACTATGAATCATAAAGTCACCGGTATGAGCCCACCAGCCACTCCAAGGGAGAAAGCTGAGGCATTTTGTTCCTGCCAAAGATTTACAGCCTAGGAAACCGGACACTGGGTCATTTCACTGAGTCAGAACCAACTCAATAGTACATAACAACAATGCTACTCACATGGAACACAGAGCAAAATATTGTCTGGTCCTATGTTATTCTCATGATCTCTGCATGTTTGAGTCTCTGTGGCTACTAAGGGTCTCCCTTGCCCTCTACTTCATCAAACATGATGTCTTCCTCCAGTGACTGATCAATCCCTCTTGAGGACAAAATAAGTGGGAAGGAAAAGGTGCTGTTTTGTGATCCATAGGTTTTCGTTGACTAATTTGTGAAAGTCGATAGCCAGGCCTCTCTTCCTCGTCCATCTTCATCTAAAAGTTCTGCTGAAACCTGCCCACCATAGGTAAACCCTGCTGGCACTTGAAATACCTGTGGCAAAGCTTCCAGCAACATGAAAGTCACGCTAGTACAACACATTTTAAACAATAGGAATTGGTTCTCTCTCAGTCTTGAAGGCCAGAGGTCCGAAGTCAGGCTCTAGGGGAGAATCCTCTCTTGTCTCTTCCAGCTTCCCGTGGCTCCAGGCATTCTTTCGCTTGTGGCCACATCACCCCAGCTGGGTTCCTAGAGGGTCACTGTGAGTCACAACTGACTCCATGGCCATGGGTTTGGGTGGAGTTTTTTGGGGTGTTTTTGATTCTAATCCAGGATGATTCTCATCTCAAGATCCTTAAACCGTTATATCCATAAAGACCCCATTTCTAAATAAGGTCCCATTCTGGGGTGCCAGGGAGCATGGAATTTTGTGGGGACATGCTTCAACCCAGTGCAGCCACAAAGCAAGATCCAGCCCTTTGCAGGGGCCAAGTCTTTGCTTTAGGGGCTATGAGGGTGGGGAGGAGGGGCCATATGAATTGAATTTGTTATTAGTCGCTGTTAACTTGATTCCGAATCCTGAAAACCCCCATGTGTGCAAAGTAGAACTGCTTCAAAGGATTATCAAGGCTGGGACCTTTCAGAAACCTTTCTCCCGAGACGCCTCGGGGTAGGTTCAAATCACCAACCTTTCAGCTAGTAGCAGAGAACTTAACTGTATGCGCTGTCCGGGGCTCCTAGAGTGAATTTAGAGAGAGGAACTTAGGGACAGACCTGAGGAGTTTTAGAATTGGGGGAGTCACAGGAGATGGAACCTTTCAACCTGAGCATGTGGAGGGAGCGGACTCTGGTGTTTGGGGCAGCTGAATGAACAGAGCAGCCCCAGGTGGGTCACATGGTGGTTGTGGTAAGGACTTTCCTATGCTTTGTGGGGACCCCTTTCCCTCTCTCACCATCTCCTCTGGGCCAAAGGCTGGGCAGCAGTTTTTGGTTGAGAAAGATGGGAGGTGACGTACCAGGTACAGCCCTCCCAAACCCTTCCTAGCTAAATTTCCTTTTTTTTTTTAAATGTTTTATTGTGAATTATGTCATAGTTTACATGGGAGAACATTAGTTTTACATTCATCCTATCGTATATCGTTTCATTGCCATGGTTGCAATACCTTCCATACATCATCAACCAACCAAAGGGTATATCCTAGAAGCCGGCATGCCCCCCTACCCTCCCTCCCCCACCCCCGCCCCCCTGGTCACCAGCACACAGCCCCTCTTCCTCTCTGGGTCTAAAGTCCCCAGCTGCTCCATCTCTCCATGTCATCTTCTCTGCCTCCATCTCAGGGATCACTGCTTCTCTGGATAGGGTAAGCCTCATTTCCTTTGAGAACCATCTGTTGGGTCCTCGTGGATTTATTGTCTCAAGGTTTTTCTCTGAGTTTGAGGGATTTAGTGTTTCTACATCTCTGCACTGTCTCCACCTCAGGATACAGGCTCTGCATATAGGAGGCCTTCAATAAATGCTGACAGAACTTTTAAAAGGTTCTCTTGATGCCCCCTCAGGGCATTCTGCCCATTCTCTGACTTGGCCCCACCCTGTTTACCCCTTCACTCTTTTTTCTTTTGTTTATTTTATTATTTGTGGTTTAATTTTTGAATGAAGGTTTATACACAAAATCATCAGCTTTACATTCAACAAATCATACATTTGTTTCATCTCAATGATGACATTCTCCTTCTTGCAACTACAGTTATCCTGCTTTTTCCCTGCAACGGACATTGATGTAAAGTATCTTTTTGTTGTAAAGGTTCCTATTTACTTTTTTTTTTTTTTTT